CTTCAAGATAGTCAATCGATGTCCCACACTCGCGATCCCCATCTCCTTGAGTTCATCATGCTTCAAAGCAATGAGCGCTTCGCCGACAATTTCGTTTTCTGTTATAACACAAACACCACGCAGTCAGTGACACGGACGTCTTAGCGCCTTTGTTTTGATCCCTTGGACTCACCTAAAAACGCGGCGCAGTATTGACGGAGACCAAGGGCGGCCACAAAGTTGGCACACTCCTCAGCAGTCCATTCCGTGATGATTGTTCGGGGCGATCGGGGATTCTCGTCCACATTGGCTAAGGTCGTAGGCGTATGCTCTGCTGACGGGAATTCTGATTCGGAAGGGGAGGCCTCGGAGTCGGTGGCCAGATGGGGGGAGGTAATCACGCTGCGCTCGTACTCGTCGTCCGCATCCGAGTCGGCATGATAGGAGGTATGGAGAGACATGGCGAATGAATTCATTCAAGTAACGGTGACGACGCCCGGAGACACGTAGAGGAGGGGGCTGGGGAGGACGTCGGACCGGCTAGCAGACTCAGCGAAGCGCCAGCCTCTAGACCCGAGACAAGTCGCCAAAGATTGAGCACAAAGGACGGGTCCGGTTGCACAGAAGGCGTTGAAGTTGTCAATCACGGACTAACGACCCGGATGAAGAGTGTTGGGAGCCAAACTTGATCGAGCAGGCGTGCCACATGAACGGGAGGGACGGAAAGCGGGTGAGTTATGGGGACACCGACGAGTGAAGATGGTCCGAAGGTGCGAAGCGCGGAGTTGATCAGGAGGAGAGTCGGGAGGACGGAGAGTATTATGAGAGAGAAGATATGAAAAGAGCTAGTGGAGAGGAAGAAGGCGTAAAGACGAGGTAGAAGAGACGAGGAAGCATGGAAAGCAGCCGTGATGGAAGAGGAGCGGAGGGGAGATCCTGAGGCCAACAAGGCATGCAGCGACAGCGAGAGCGGGGAAGCTCGGCCAAGTTCTGGGGGTCCAACCGGATGATGAGATGGGCCAAAAGGGAGGAGAAAATGAAGAAGAACTCCCTCGTTGATGAATAGCTGGTTGGGCGACAATAATGAGAGATCAAAGACCACGAGGCAGGGCGACTGATGAACTGGGGTGTTCAAAAGAAGAAAGGGTGGACATCCACAGGCAGATGAAGAGACGAGCGATGGACGAGAGCAACAGAACAAGAAGCTGGTTGGGCGCGGAGTCCAACGAACCGCCGAACGGGAAAACCAAGAGGCGCTTCTAAAGTTGGATCGCCACACGTGATGCCGGTCTGGACTCTCCGCTGCTCACTTTCCTTGTACATCCATCGATCCATTCTACATAGACAGTTCAGGCATCTCCATTTTATCATCATCCCAGTGGGTTAAGTCAATATCCTTGGTCTTACCATATGATGGGGATCAATGGCATCTACGAAATCTACTGTCGGCCGTTTATCGGCTCAATCCGACCCCCTCTCCAGTAACTGGCTCCGTTAATGGATCCCTCATCCTTGCTTCGTTCCCAGCCCAGATGCTGGGCAAAATCACTTGGTGACGCATCTCGCAGACAAGGACGGATAGTCCACCCAGAAAATAAAATCAGGGTTGAAGAAAATAAATTAAAAAAGGAGAGCCATCGCCGGATCCAAGCGCCAAACAATCGCTCCAAGCAAAAAACTGAAAACTGAGAAGAACAAATGGTGGAAACGGGGCCCCATCCCCTGGCTGAAGTTCCGTGCGATTAATGAGGACACTAACGAAGCGCCCATCCTAGTGACCAGCACTATTATCACACAAATGCTACTAGTGTCGATGACTCGATGGGGGTTCATGCAAACCAGAAGCATCGCCCGGCAGGCTTAACGGCCAGTGGACAGAGGGGGGGTTGGTTATGCCCACTATTATTCAAGCCAGGCGCTGTCAAAATTCAATAGTGCCGGAGCCTCGACGTTTTCGGATGCTATCTGGGTCCGAATCCTCCGCTGTCATCGTGCCATTCGTTCCCCATCTCGACGCTGAATTGTCGATGAATGTCCATGCAAGGACATCCATGGCTCCATCAGAGAAAAAAAAAAAAAAAAAAAAAAAAAAAAAACTCTTTTCCACTCGTCTCCATCATCTTCCTCCCCTTGCCCCCTTTTTTTTTCTAGCAGTTTTTTACCTCCAATCCACTCGAGCTTGGATGGCCGGTGCTATATTTAACTTTCCTCGGATACTATCGCCGAAGGGCTTTGTCTCCGTTGTGCCTGACTCTCCGTAGAAGTCTATTTGCACCATCGATATCCCCACCTCAGCTAGTAGATACTAGATAGAGCTTACGTATAGTCGACGAGGATTCTATCTGTAGGAGTGAATAATGACCGAATACTACAGCAGATTGTAGACGACGGCCGAGTCTAAGGTCTTGACCACCGAAATTCATCCGTTGCAGCTGAGAACAATTCATACTACGAACGGGTTCAATAACTGTGGAGCAGCCGGAGCAACACTTGCACGCTTGTGTTCTACTATTGAGCCGCCGCTATTGAGGCGGCAGTATAACACAAACAATCTATAACTTGAAATAGTATCTACTCACCAACTCAGGAGATTTTCCATCGGCCACGCCGATCCCATCATCAGACGGGGGGACAAAATATCCGATCCATAGTAAGTAACAGCAAAATATCGCACGCATGAGAAAAAGCCAGCACTCTACTATATTCCTCACCCCCCTCACTGTGCGCTGTCCACATGAATCAAGGAAGCAAACTACTAAGCGCCCGGATCTGGTCCATCCTGCATTGCGGCATGTGGACGACGGGACAACGGAACGATACCTGCCTTACCTCGTACATCTTATCAACATCCCTCCCTCCCCTTGCGAAGCTAGTACTAAGAACCAGCCATCCCGCAATCATGGGTTTTTTTTCTTATCCGGTTGTGACACCTCAATCCCTGGCATCTCGCAGCAAAAATCCTTACACGAACATGTGGGTGTGAGCCAGCCAGCCATCGTTCAAGCCCTCCTTGTTGCTTACATGCAGCAACTTAACTAATGGGAGGGAGATTATTTGTGTCTCGAGGGTAGTGGAGCCCATGTATGTCTACGTAAGTTTCGTATAATAAATCGTATATGTATACCCATACCCACCCCGGCGCAATGATTGCATTTTGGTCAAAGTCCATTCGATGCGCCAACCGCCGTTGGATGCTATTTATATCAGATGTACCCTGAATAGCCATGTCCAGGATACGCCCCCGCGTTCTCTCTCGCGCGCGCGCCTATTCAGGCCTATAATAGATGCAGTGCGGTGTGATGCGATGCGATGCGATGCCAGGCGGCTAACCTTCCGTAAGAATATCCGTTGGCTTTTTGTGACCGGAAATATCTAGGGCGTGGCAAACTTCCTGCATTGTGAGGAATCCTTTCCGGGACCAGCATCGCTTGATGATATGTCCAAGGAATAAAGGGTTCGTATTTGGGAGTTTGTCATCGTCGGCCAGGTTTTATATGTCTTGGACACCGGATCATAGTCTAGGTCGGTCTCGATGTCGGGTATAACATAGAATTCAAATTGCTTTCCAGAGATAACTTCGTACATCATTGAGCCGAAGCGCGCAATGTCGGACCTGACTGAAGCGAAGTCTTCAGACACGAAGATTGCCATGTCCTCATTGTCCGCGACAATAGTAGATTCGGTAAATTCGCACATCTGGAGAGAAAGATCCTCATCAAGCAGGAAATTGCGTGCCGCGATATCGACCACCAATACTTGCCGCTCGTGTACTCGATGGATGATATGTGCAGCTTCCTGGAGCCATTGTAATCGTCGACTGTTGTCCACAGTATCATGGTGAGTATGTAGATAGCGGCTCAGTGAACCCTGGCGTAGGTACGGCATTCGAATCTCGGTGTCGGAGATGTGATAGGGCTTTATTACTCCTGGGACATGCCCAATATGGCTGTACACATGCCCTTCATGCTTTAGAGATTGCTTGTTTAGCTCAGTCGTCTGCTCGTAGCTGATAATCGTCGTCACGGATGCACCCTTAGGTACAGTCCAAACATTGGCCGTTTTGACTGCCATGTGTCCGATGCGCATCACGCGTCCAACTCGACCAAGTCCGATTAGCTCGGAATCATCGTTATAGCTCATTATAGATGAGCTCAATAAGGATAGTAGCTCTGTGGGTGGTGTCTAGTCTGTTGGCTGCAGGAGTTGTGCGCATAAGATAGAGCTCCAGCGGTCATGTGCAGCAGCAGCAGCAGCAGCAGCGAAACAGCTTCGCCGTGAGAGAAGTACCCTATCCTTTGCACTTCACGTAATTCACCCCATTATAATCTACATTCCTAGAGCACTCCAGAAATAAACGACAAGCCTGATGACCACATTCATGCCATGACCTCTCAACAAGGTCATTACTATATAGATTCCCGCTAATCAAAAGCGGCAACCCATCTTATCGGCGGTTCCTGCGCTGACCTCCGACGACCGCAAGGCTCGCCTTTCCCCGGACTAGGATTATTCTTCGCCCCCAAGTTCTCTCCTCAACCCCCCCTCCTCCTCCCCTTCTTTCTCTGCTTAACACCTCCTCCTGCTCCGCTCCCTATCACATCGCGAACCAGACAGGTAAGACACACAGACAAATTAAAACTCCTCTCGCCCCCATGGACACCGCGAAAGCTACATCAACCCGCGCAATCTTTTCCAGAACCGTAGTTAGTACCCGCTAACCGATCGCGATCGCAGATATTGTACCCTCTCGTTTCGAACGAGCAAGTCGCACGCTACTATCGACTTTGGGACTTTTATATATATACTTTGATACCTGCTGCGCTAGCTCGGACTATTCTTTCTCCCTTGTCTGGGTAACCACCTCTATACGAAACGCAAGCGCTACACCTCCATCGAGTCCGTCCCGCATCGCGCCGCGCCCACCCTACTTACCTACTCATCATCACCTCGACTCAACCACCTACACCACACCAACCCCAACTCTCCAATCTCCATAACGAACAATGCCCTCCTCCTCCTCGCCCAACCAACCCACCACAACCACTCCATCCTCCACCACCGACCTCGAATCCGACCTCCTCCTGCACCTAACCAGCACACCCGCGCTCGAAGACCTCCACGCCACACTCCTTAGCTCACTCCAACGCCTCGGATGGACAGAACGGATCCGGAAACTCGCGCAGGAACTCCTCCGCGGCGGACGGTGCGAGCGATTCGACGAGGTATTCGAAGCGGTAGTAGCGTCCGCGGAGGGGAGGAAACACCCCGTCCTAGCGGAGGCGAATAAAGCGAAACAACAAAGCAATGGGAATAATAATAATAGTGGTGGGGACGAGGACGGCGGTAGCGGCATTGGGGATCTGGAGGCGTTTGATGTGAGGATTCCGTCAGCGGTGGTGGAGCAGGGGGTTAGGGCGTTGAAGGAGGTTTTGAGGGAGGTGGTGGTTGCGGAGGATGGGGGGGATATTTTGGGGGAGGTTGAGAATGGGCATAAGGAGGAGGGTGGTGGTGGTGGTGGGAGTGGTGGTAAGGGGTCGAAGAATAGTAAGGATGGTGGGGGGGATACGGCGAGTCCGGTGAAGAAGGTGAAGAAGGAGTCGAAGACGGGGAGTAAGGTTAAATGAATGATATGTGGGTGGCTTGTCTGTATGGTGTGGTGTGGTGGTTCGTTTGGTTTCGTGGCTGGCGTGTTGGTATGGTGTTTTGGTTTGGTTTATCTATCTGGATACTTCTTGTCAGGCTATTGCTTACGGCGTTGCTTTGGTGGTTTACTACGGACGGCGTTGCATTATCCTGATACCAGCATGGGCATGTATGCATGCCTCATTATTTTGTACAACAGTTGGGGGTTGTCTACCAAGACGTGCAATTCATTTACTCTTTAAGCTTAATATTATGGCACTCAGTATGCGAGACAGATATTCGCAATCTCAGAACGTGAAAGGAAAAGAAAAGGAAACTTGTAACCCAATACGAATTTCGACCGGGGCTATATCCCGGCCTCAAAACCCGCTGTTTCTAAGTAGTAGTAGTGCAGATGGATAACTAACTTGGAAACATGCAACCAATCTAGTCATAGAGGCTGTCGTCATTGCCGGCTTCACCAAACGTGTTGTTGTCCGTCACCTCACCCGCCGACGGGAAGCGGAAGAAGCTGCTGCCACCCGAGTTCTTCAGGCTCTGGGCAAATGCCTCGTAGCGACGGATCTCCACGTCGCTGACGGAGCGTCTGGCCGACTTCATCGCCTCCTCGAAGTGCGCCCGGGTAAGCTCCGGCACCGGGTCCTCCTCCTCGACCTCCTCGTCCTCCATCTTGACATCCTCGCCCTGGGCCTCACGCTGCTTCTGGCGCTCAATATCAGCGCCGATGGACTGCTTGATGGCGAGCTTGACAGCACGCTGGGTCACGAAGCCAAGATCAGCACCGGAGAATCCGTGGGTCTTGCTGGCAATGAAGGAGAGGTCGATGTCGCCAGCGATAGGGGTCTTGCGGAGCTGGGCCTTGAGGATGCTCTCACGAGAGGCCTGGTCGGGCAGAGGAACGTAGACCAGGGTGTCAAGACGACCAGGACGGACCAGGGCGGCATCAAGCTGCTCGGGTCTGTTCGTGGCACCAATGACGAACACGTTCTTCTTGGAAGTCATACCGTCCATCTCTGTTTGGAAGTTAGCAACTACTCATGTACATCGAGACAATGAACTTACCAGTCAGGAGCTGGTTGACGACACGGTCAGAGGCACCGCCGGCATCACCGACAGAGCCACCACGAGACTTGGCGATGGAATCCAACTCATCCAGGAAGACAACGCAAGGAGCAGCGGCGCGGGCCTTGTCGAAGATATCACGGATGTTGCTCTCGGACTCACCGAACCACATACTCAGCAGCTCAGGACCCTTGACCGAGATGAAGTTGGCAGCACACTCGTTGGCCACGGCCTTGGCAAGCATGGTCTTACCAGTACCGGGAGGACCATAGAACAAAACACCGCGGGAAGGAGAAAGACCAAACTTCTGGAACTTCTCGGGGTGGTCGACAGGGTACTGCACGCTCTCGATGAGCTCGCGCTTGACCTCCTCCAGACCACCAATGTCCTCCCAACGGACGTTGGGCACCTCGACAACGGCAACCTCGCGGAGAGCGGAGGGGTTGGAGACACCGAGGGCGTAACGGAAGTTCTCCATGGTAACACCCAGAGAGTCCAGGACCTCCGCGTCAATGGTGTCCTCGTCGAGGTCAATCAAATCCATCTTCTCACGGATCTGCTGCATGGCGGCCTCAGAGCACAGAGAGGCAAGATCGGAACCGACGTAACCGTGGGTCTCGGCGGCAATGGTCTCCAAGTCGACATCATCACCCAGCTTCATGTTCTTGGTGTGGATCGAGAGGATCTCCAGACGGCCAGTGGGGTCGGGGATACCGATGTCGACCTCACGATCGAAACGACCGAAACGGCGGAGGGCGGGGTCGATAGAGTTGGGGCGGTTGGTGGCGGCCATGACAACCACGTTGGAGCGGGCCTTCATACCGTCCATCAGGGTCAGAAGCTGAGAGACGACACGACGCTCGACTTCACCGTTGGTCTTCTCACGCTTAGGGGCGATGGAATCGATTTCATCAATGAAGATGATGGCAGGGGAGTTCTTCTCGGCTTCCTCGAAGGCCTTGCGCAGGTTGGACTCGGATTCACCGGCCATCTTGGACATGATCTCGGGACCGTTGATCAGGAAGAAGAAAGCACCAGTCTCGTTGGCCACAGCACGAGCCATCAAAGTCTTACCGGTACCCGGAGGACCGTACATGAGGATACCACGGGGAGGCTTGATACCGATGGACTTGAAGAGCTGGGGGTGGCGAAGGGGCAGCTCGACCAATTCACGGATCTGAGCCATCTGCTTCCTGCAGCCACCGATGTCGTCGTAACCGACCTCGTTGAGGTTGCCCTCCTCATCCTCGCGCTGGATCGGCTCACCCTCGCAGTGGATGATGGTATCTTGGGCGACGATGCCATACTCTGGGGGATCCACCTCAACAACCTTGAATTCCACTTGTCTCATACCACCTCTTACTGTGAACAGGTCTCCCTGTCTCACGGGTCTGTAGGCTTCGCGGAAGTAGGGGGCGAGGTAGACATCGAAAAGGGAGCCAGTGAGGCCCTCAACGGTGTCGGCGATGGGGAGAACGGCAATACGCTTGGCCTGTAGATGAGAACAAGTGAGGTCAGTAAGAAGTCGCCTGGATACCGCTGAGAGCAGTAGGACTCACGTATTTGATGTCGGGGCAGGGGTGGACGGTGATGATATCGCCGTGCTTGACACGCAGGTTGTGTCTCACAACACGGTTGATGCGAGCGCTTCCATCATCGAGATCATCATCGGCCAAAACAATCAGAACGGTGTCCTTGCGCTTCTTGCCCTTGACGAGGACGGTGTCACCCCGGAACAGCTGGAGGGTGTCCATTGTGTTGTTGGAGAGAGCAATAACGGAGTTGTCATCGTTGACGGCATCGGTGACACTAGCACCCAGACAGTCAGTACCCAACCAGTATCCCCGCACCAAGGCCAGAGCTAGCTTACATGAGGGAGTTGGGCTTCTTCTTCTTCTTCAAGATAGCCGTCGAGGTGTCGAGTTCCTATTTCACGGTGGTTGTTAGTATTCGCCATCAAGGTCCCTTCCCGTTCTGCAGACAAAAGTCTTTACCTCTTTCTTGTCGGCGCCGGAGGCGTCACTGTGCGATGAGGTTAGCTGCTTGGAACGATGGAGAAGTTGATGCCAGAGGTTCCATCACGTACTGGAGGTTCACCCTCTTCTTGTCGTGGGTGTGATCGGGTTCTGCGCTCATCTTGAGGGGAAGCTGGATAAGGCGCGTAAAGCAACGTAGACACTTGGGTACGTATCAAGGACTGTCGCTGTACCGGATTTGGTGAAGCTCGGCAACAGGGACAAAGAGGAAAATGAAGGGGAATGAGAAAACGAAACAGAGATACAAATCCCACCAGACCGAAAGAGATGGCGGAGGGAGGGAAGTAAATTGAGAGGATGAGATGGGATGGCAGAGGGGGAGGGAGTTGGAAGTGAGATCGGAGGATGGCAGAGAGAGAGCTCCAGTTAAGAGGTGACGATAGTGCCAGGCCCTACCGGGGCTTGATGACTTAAGCTGTTGCAGATTCACGAGCCACCAAACCCGGTTGCCGCCACCGCCTGGGGAGGAGAGAGAAGCGTATGGAAGCCGGTCGTATCCACTCTTGATCGTCCCCCAACTAACCACTACTACAATTAACTAGTATTTATCTGGGGTCAACTAATTTTCAGGTGTTTCTACTCCTCGTTGCTTTATAAGCCATGATACTTTTGCACAAAATGAGTCACTGTGGCTGCTCCCCCCTCACTCTGCTGTGACTGTCGGAGATATGCGTGTGCATTGCACCGCCCGGTAACACTGTGTCTGTGTCTGTACCTCTGCCTGAGGCAGCTATCCTCCCTGCATGCATGCACAGAGTGCTTCTATGACAGCCAGAGGGCCTGGCATCAGTCAGCCTGGACCAGCCCAGGCTGTCTCTGCCTCTGCATCACCATGCCCAAGGCACTGTCAGGACAATAGCCTTGTGGTGGGCGGCGACTGCCTTGCCGGCAACTTGCTGCCTATGAACGGAACTTCCCTATTCGGCAGACAAGGGTATACATGTACCATCGAACTGACCAGAGCCGTGTGAACCTGTCTTCCGCCCAGTTGGCGAGTTCATCAGAATACTGCTCCCTTATATAGTGCTATGTGCACACAGGGCTATGTTTGCAGGCCGGGGCAACAGCTTGACCAGTCCTGGTGACTCGAGCAAATGAGTATTCACAGCAACAGCCTGTCCAACATGGCCATCAGTATATAAGTTTCTGTTAACGGCCTTGTATAGCTATATACCCATCACCTTTCCATTGCCATCTCTTCAGCTAACCCCCCCTCATGAGTGAAGGTTAATCACACTGAGACATTTCCCACAACGCAACACGAGACTCTCCATCAGGGCACCACTGATACTACTACTGATAGATCGTTTGCTTGCCTTATTTGGTTAACTTGTCCCACTCTAATAACTCTAAGTCATGGACGATAAGGCTGATTACCCCTCGGACTTCCTGCAAGCGCGAAACAACACCTTGACAGACGATGAGGTAAACCATCTGCTCGAGAAGCCAGGCTGCGCAGCTCGCTTCGTCTACGGAGTCCTCATGCTCCCCACGGCACTAAAGTACTTCCTCGACATGCCGCAGACCACGGACATCGCCAAATACATGATGCACGCAACTGTGTACGGGTTCAAGCTCTACCACTTCGGCCCGGACAGCACACCCGTCATGCTGCCCTCAGAGGACCCGCAGCACCGAGTCGAAGGGATGCTCATCCTCGGATTGAATGAAGAACATCGCAACAGGATCTACGAATATGAGAGCGGGCTCAT